GCCTTCTGCCCGAGGGCCTCCCCAGACACTGCAGAGGTCACAGAGGGTGCTTGGTACTAATGGCCAGACCCTGTCCAAAAGGGGCATAGATTGTCCCGCTTCTCTGGGACAGTTCTGTCTAACACTGCGCACCGGGACATGGGGGCCACTACAGCTAATTCTGTTCGCTCCAGGAGGCCGAGCATTTCCCAGGTATACCTGATTCAGAAGGCTCAGGAGAGGCAATGGGAAGCGGGGAGGCAGAAGGGATTTCCTCTCACTTCAAAGGAGGAGAAACAGCCCAGAGAAGGTGTGGGACTTGACCAAATCATTTGGTCCATTACGAATGCAGCTCGGGTGCCATGGCTGGCAGGCAGCTGTCTGGGCCCCAGGAGAGATCTGGGCAGGGGCTCACCCTTGAGCTTTGGCGGCACCACTGAGTGGGTCTCAGCTAAGAGCCCACTCCCCATGCATGTTCCCTCCCGCCTTCTGCAGGCCCCCATCTGCCAGAGACTTGTAACCCCATGGTCTTCCTCCTCAGTGCCCCCACCTACCCCAGGTGTGCCACCTGCCACCAACTGGACATATTAAGCCTGTGATCAGGTTGGATTTGGCACACTGTCTCCCTCCCAACCCCCACTCATGCTGCCTACAGTCCCATGGGGGCAGTGTCCTAGGGCCACCTTGGCCCCTGGAACCTCCAAACAAATGCAAACGGGTATGGGGGGACAGGGAAACTGGCTACATCTGAGGAGTGCTGAGAAAAGAAGAGAGGAGGCCTCCTCCAGAGCTCCCGACTGATCTTCTCTTCAGTGTCCACCCTGTAAACTGGGTTGGTGTCCCTCCCCACCAGTTTCGGGAAGGCCCAGCATGGTCAGTCACAGCAGATACAGTGTTGGTCATGGAGGCTGGGGCACGCTTTCTGGGGCTGGACATGTGTTTGGTCGCCTGGCCTACGGGCTCCCTCCTTGGGCCTCAGAGTCCTGCCTGTCTGCCTTTGAATCACACAGCTCTGCCACTCCCAGCTGTGCATGACTTTGAGCAGCTCACTTAATCTCAGCCTTGTTTTCCTGACCTGGGAAATAGGGATGATAATACCTACTTAGAAGGTTATTTGTAAAGATTTGAAACAATGTCTGAGTGAAAGAGAGAGACGGTCGCTCTGTGTAGGGCAGAGGGCAGGTGCCGGGTGTCTTCTGAGATCTGAGGACACTGGGCACCTGCAAGTTCTCTGAAGGCCAACTGGGAAAGCCCCTATGTGCCCGCCTGTCCTGCCAGGCTGAAGTGGCTTACTTAGGAGGGAGCCCGCCTCCATTACCCCAGAGGTGCTCTGACTCTGCCAGGCCCCCACCTGGACAGGCGTTGTCACATCTGTGCACAGGCTGCCCCTCCTCTAGGTGAGGCTGTCACTGGGGCAGGAGAACAGCAGGGCCCCGACTGCCGTGAAGAGGGAGGGGCGGGGCTCCTGTGACCTCAGCAGTGCTTTTAAATCTTCCCATCAAGCTTTTGCAAAAATGATGATCGAGTAAAAGCAGCAGCTGCGTCTGCTCCATTGGTAAGTGAGGTGAAAGCAGCCTCCTGGCCTTCGGGCTCCCCTGGCTAGAAATCTGGCTGGTCCTAGATGTAGGGGTGGGGGGGGTTCTGTGCCAAGGGGAGCTGGGAGTGCATGGAGGATCATGTGGGTAAGTTGGGGCTCCTGGGGGATCCCTGAGCAATGCAGGGGGAGTGGCTCCCAGGAGAGATGCAGGCAGAGCCAAGGTGCCATTCTGGGGTCTCTCACAGATGGAGCTCCCAGAGGGGGTGGTGTGGGGTGCCTAAACAGCTTCAGTCCCCACACAGGGATTTGGTGAGGACTGGGGCTAAGGGCAGAAGCTGCTCATGCCAGTGCCGTGGATTGAGGCTGGGAAAGCTGAGGCCTCAGGGTATGACTACAGTGCTCAATGTGGGCCCTTCTAGTGGGTGGGGCTGGTCAGCTCAGATGGTCAGGGCGTGGCCCAGCTCTGAGCTGGAGGCCAAGGTCAGTAGCACAGGGACCACATGAGTCTTTGAGCAGGTCCATACTGTGCCTCTGGCCCTACCTTGGCATTGTCACAGATGCATGAACTGATCACTAGTAGAGTGCTAAGACAGGGGGATAACAAAGCAAATCTACTCTCACCTCTACTGGAGAAGACTTCTGACAGCAGGTCCTGAGGCCAGGCTAAAACATGGGGTTGTTTTCTTAGGGGCTTCTCATTTCTCCACATAACTGCAGCCTCTACATTTTATCCTGCCCTTATTTTGCAGACCAGGCATGGAGAAGTTAAGTAATTTATCCGAATGCACACAGCTGTAGTAGTATCTGCTTGACACCCTCTGAGATCCCTTTCTGAAAGCACTTACCAGGCCCTTTTGTGGGGATGCTTGGCATGCTGGGGCTGGGGACAGGGTAGGGTGCCCTAAGTGGGTGACTGAGGGCGGGCAGGGAGGGGCATCAGGTAGATGGGAAGGAGGTAGGAGTCAGGCATGCCTTGGACACAATCCTGAGATCTGAGCGGCAGCAGCCTCCAGAGGGGTGGAGGCCAGCTGGTTGTGGTTACCTGCACACACATGGCTTTGCAGTCCTACTCGGCTGGAGGATGTGGGGTTGCTTAGTTCATGGGTAATAGTATCACGTCACTAAAGTACCAATTAGAAGAAGGGCAGCAGTGAGGTGGGGGGGGCGTAGCATTTCTCCTTCTTGTGGACATTGTTCCATTTGTCAGTAGAGCAGCCCTTACACCCCGACTCACAGTTGTTTCAAGCTGAGGTTCTATAAACCCATCAGTGTTCAAGAGTCTCTGCTGACCAGTTACAGTGTGGCTTGTAACTGGTCCCAGACCACAGAGCCAAAAATCGTGGAAAGGTCAGCAACAGCCATAAACAGCCCCATGCTGTTGCTGGCAGCTCTCCCCCATGTGGAAGGGGGTCTCAGGTGGTCCAGCCATGCTTTGGGGGTGTGGATAAAGTGAAGGTTCCTGTGGCCAGGATTCTCACCTGGCCCTGACTGACTAGCTCACTACACGCGTGTGGGTAATAGGTCGTTATTGACTATATATAAAGAGCCCCACCCAGTGCTTTGGGTGACAGGGTAGCACGGCTGCAGGGCTGCAGGAGAGCAGAGCAGAGGCTGTAGTGGTGGCCGCGCCAAAGACAGAGTGAGACGGCTGTGGGGAGAGAGGGGCTCAGAGGCAGAGACCGGCTTGCTGCAGGCAGACTCGCTCTTAGTGGATGGGATTCTAGTGACTGACCTGCCACTGTGGAAATAAAGTTGGGTATAACCCTTTCACCCCAAGAACGTTGTAGTGTCATCTCTTTGGTCACATTGAATCCATAGTGAACTTGCCCTGGGCTGAAACCCATTGGCAACACAGGGGGTCTTCCTGTGTTCAGATGTCCTTTGTTTCCATCCTCACCCAGTGCCAGTTCACCCTTTGGGGGTCAGCTTGAACATTTTCCTCGTATAAAAACGTTTGGCCACATCTTTCATTGTTTCCTTCGGACCCATTTCTAGATCTGGCATGGTTCCCACAGCAGTGTAGGAGGGCCCTGTGGCCCTGGATGCGTACCAATTCTGGATATTGTAATTTCGCAAAAGACAGTAAATTTGATAGCAACATATGATAACAATTAATTTGCATCTCTTGAATTTTAATGAAACCTTTTGTTTTTGTTATGTTTTGGCCAATTGTATTGATTATTTTGTGAATTTCTTATTCAAGTCTTTTGCCCTTTTTTCTATGGGATGTTTGTTGGCTTCCTATATTGATTTGGTAGCGTTCCCTGTATTCCAAGGTATTAACTCCTGTCCCTCATGTATGATGCAGATATGTTTATAGTTTATTGGTGGCTTGAACTTGTTGAAAGGGCTTTTTTGTTCATAAGAGATTTTCATTGTTTTTGCTCTCAACTCCGTCAGTGTTTTCCTTGATGACATCTGACTGTGATGGGGTGCTTATAAAGGCCCTTCCCACAACAACATTATGGAAAGACTTATGCATGTGTTCTGAAGATTCTCTTACAGTTTCATTTTCTACATTTAACTCTTTCATCTAGCTGGAATGGACGGCTTGCATCTTTGTCAAAATGCTTCAAATCCCTTTTGAGATGAAGGTGATTAATAGATAAATTAGTTCATTAATTAATGTGGCAGGAAGGAAGTGGTAGTGGAGAGGCTGAGAACACAGGAGAGAGATGGATACTTAATGGATCGAGGTCTGGAGGAGAAGGGATTGAGTGCTGGGGGCAGGGGTGCCTGGAGGGACCTGCCTTTACTAAAGGTAGATGTGGTATCTGAGACTGGGGAAGTGGCATGGCAGAGTCAGCTCTGCCAGGTCAGAAGGTAGGCAGGAAATGGCTAGAAAAGAAGACTCTAAGCCAGGTGCCCCAATCTCCAGTGACTGAGGGGGCGGGGACGGTGGGGAAGGGACCAGGAGAATTGGCATCGATGATCAGGACAAGCCAATGGTATAAACTGGGTGGCAGGGAGGTGCACAGGTTTGGGACTCCCAGGGATTGTGACTGTCCCACCTTTGGGCCCAGTGGGCTCTGGAAGGCTACACTGCACTGAAGAGGAATCCTGGGGGACAGCCAGGTGTCAGGTCAGGTGGCGAGGGGAAGGAACATGCGGAGAAAAGGCTGAGGGCACAAGGGAGTTGGTTTACCACGGGCAGGACCTTCTAGACTCTGGGTAAGTGAAAATCTGGAGGGGCCGCTGTGAGCAGGAGCGTCCGTCCCTGATCAATGGATGGGAACATAGCCAAGGAAAGTTAAACTGACCTGTTTGTACAGAGCATTACAATTCAGGAAGCCTTTTCACAGATATGTTACCTTCCAGAGCAGAGATAAAGGGCTGAGCCCGGAGCTCACGCGGAGGCAGGGTGTGAGCGCAGGGGTTCCAAGGCCGGCCCAGGTGCTGGTGCCGCCCCTGCCCTCATCTCTGTACACTCGGGCAGTTGCTTGGGGCAGTGCCTAACGAATTCTGCTCTCTCCTCTCCCTGCAGGATAGAAGCCTGCATCGCCGGCCTTGCTACCCGTGGGCAGGATGGCCCGTGTGAACTCTGCCAGCCGCCCCCACTATGCCTCCTCCATCCCTGTGCCCCGGGCTGCTTCCCAGACCAGGATTCACACACCGGGTGCCTCTCCCCAGCTGCGGCCGCGCCAGGCTGGCCTGGCTCTGAGTCCCCAGCGAGCAGCCTCCCCAGGACTGGGCAGGGCTGGAGGCCCTTGTAGAGGCCCTTCTCCGAAGGCCTCCCGGGGGAGAGGCTCAGCCAAGGCTTCTGGGGCAGTAAGAGAGTCTGTCGAGGGCGGGGAAGGCCTCTCCAGCTCCCCATGGAGCAGTCCCCGAGCAACCCCGAGAGCAGCCATCTCCAGCCGGGCTGGAACCAGAAGAGGTGGGGTGACCCTGGGCCCCCAGGGAAAGAAGAAGGTGGTCCAGGAGGGAGTTCCAGTCTGCCAGAGCCGGGGCAGGAGCCCACCCCGAATGAGCTCTCATGGAGAAACTCAAATCCCAGGGGCTCCTGAAGGTCAAAACCCTCCTAACTACTCAGGAAAAGATCAAAGAGCTACAAACTGCAACAGTTCTGGGGTCCCCAGGTCCTTGGAGCCTGATGCCTCGGCAGGCGCAGGGGCTTGCTCCCCGGTCAGCAGCCCTGTGCAGAGCACACGGCCCTCCCCCACCCTGGGGGCCATCAGCTTCTCCTCTGGACATCAGCAGAGCCAGCCGGTCACCGCCACGGTGGCCCCCTTCCAGTACAGGTGAGCTGCCTTCAGGCAGGGAGGGAAGGAGGGAGCAATGGAGCTGGAGCCCAGGGCAGGCCTGAAGAGGAGTGGGGCCCTGAGGCCACAGGGCCCCGGAGTGTAGGCGGGAGGCAGGCAGGGGACTGGGAGAGCTGAGATGGGGTTGGGGTATAGTAAGGGGACTCGGAGCCAGGCTCTGGCCTTTCTCAACTCTGGGGCCTTTACAACAAACAGGCTTATAAGGACGGCACCCCTAAAACGCCCATCTCTCCTCCTCACTGAGACCGTGTATTAGGGGAGGTGGATGCCTAAGCAGCTAGATACGTAGGTAGGTGGGTCCGTCTTACCCGACTTACTGGGGGCATCTGCTGTCACTGTGAGTCAGACTAACTGCCTTCAGCTCATGGCTAGTAAAGTTGTCACTGCTCGACCTTGGCTTCCGTGATACCTGGCGTCTGTCTGTCTGTCCTTGGCTCCCGTGATACCTTGTGTCTGTCTGTCTGTCACTCTGTCTCTCTCTCTCCACTTACCATGTTGCCTTATGCAAAGCTGTTTACACGTCTGGCATACCAAGGGTCACCAGTAATGCTTCTTAAGTGGTCCGATCAGGGTTGCCACCACTGATGGTGGCTGGGCCATTGTTCCTAACAACATGGTCACCAGTTTTCTTCAGACATGGCAAGTTGGGTGTATAGAACAACATTTCTATCAACTATGTTTTTTAAATAAAAATATAACTCTTTACTAAAAGGGCCATACTAAGTCCATTTTAATTACTAAACATTACACAGTTTAGAAATGCCTAAATGCAGATTAAGTACCTTTCTGACTAGCCTAACTCCCTGGGATTTTTTGCTATGCCAATGTGAGGAGAAACTCACATTTGGGGAGTAGAAAGCTTGTACATTGTTCCCTGGACACTGAGGGTGTCTGGGGCATCAGTGTGTCGGGGGCAGGGAGGGAACTGCTAGGAGCTTTCACGTTCACTAGACTCCCACAGTGTGACTTGATATCAGAAAAGTCTAAGCACTTTGCACCACAATAATAGATACCTGGGGTCCAGGACAAGGAAGGCAATAGTCCTACTGTAGACAGCGTGTGTTCAGGCCTCATTTAGAGAATTGCATTCAGTTATGAACACTACATTTTAAGAGGACACTGTTGCACAAAAACACATCTAGAGAAAGACTGATGGTAAGGAATTCAGGAAAGGTGATAGATCCAAGAAAGAAAGATTAAAGGAACTGAAGCAGTTTACTTTGGAAAGGAAGGCTTCGAGAGGGTCTGAGCACAAGTCTTCAAATATTCGAAGGGCCGTCATGTTGTAAGATGAATTAGGGTCACTTGATGCAGCCCCAAGGAACTTAGAGTCGTGGCTAGAGTGAGCTGAGAGATGTGAAGCTCGATAGAAAGAGCTTGCCGACCCCCAGTGAGGTTTGCCAGTCGCCTATGGGGGTGAGCTTCTGGTCGTTGTGGGAACTCTAGCAGACTCCCCAGCCAAAGACGTTCTTAACTGGGCGCTGCCTGCCTCTGCAGCGCCCCCTCTGCTGGCATGTAGCCTGCCCCGGGCACCCACCTTCCTTTCCAAACAGGCTGCTCCCTTCTGCCCTGGGTGACATTCCTGACCTACGAGCTGCTGAGAGAACTCAGGGAAGCAGAATGCAGGGCAGCCAGTCCTTTGAAGGACCTTTTTGTCAGTAAAATGCTTCCATGGTGGCTTTGACGTTCTTCTCCCATCTGATTTCCGGCACATTGAATTCAGTGTCTAGGGATTAAATTGTTTAAGAGTTAACATAACATAAGCTACCCGACAAGTCCCCTAGCATATTTATTTTATTTTATTTTATTTTTTTTTGAGAGGGCATCTCTCATATTTATTGATCAAATGGTTGTTAACAACAATAAAATTCTGCATAGGGGACTCAATGCACAATCATTAATCCACCCCAAGCCTAATTCTCAACAGTCTCCAATCTTCTGAAGCATAACGAACAAGTTCTTACATGGTGAACAAGTCCTTACATAGTGAGTAAGTTCTTACATGGTGAACAGTGCAAGGGCAGTCAT